TCGTGAAGTGCTCGGTCTCTTTCTCGAATCATATCTGCCAACTCGAGGTTCTTCGTCTTGATTTCGCGCTCCAGTTTTTCACGCCTCTCGATAGCCTCTTGAGCCGAAGCTGCCTTTAACTGGACCGTCTTAAACTTCTGAAGGAGATCGAGATGCTCGTGACGTAATTGTGAGTAAAGCTTCGCCAAGGCCTCGTACTTCGTTCGCCAGGTGTTTACTTGCTCCTGAAGTGCCCGAATCTGATCATCTCTGCTATTTAACTGCTGACCAAAGTTGCCCTGAATTTGGGAGAGCTCGCTCTCGAGCGCCTTAACTCGTTGATCGTATTGCTGCAGCATTAATTGATCCCGTTCGTACTGCGCTCGCGCATTCAGGTTCTCTTGCTCAAGTTCGGCTAGGCGTCCCTGCGTCTGCCATTGAGCCTGCTGGGCCAATAGTTGTTCTTGCTCCATTCGTTGTTGCTCTGCTAAACGTCTTTGTTGCTCCTCGAAATCGCGCTGAGCTTGCATTTGAGCATCCTGCTGGGCACGGAGAGCTTGTGCCTGACGTTCTTGTAGAACTCTTTGCTGCTCTTCGTACTCCTTGTTCTGTCGATCAATCTCGCCTTGCCAGAACTCGGCAATCTCGTCCGGTTCCTCGGATTTTGGTGCACGCACAGGCGTTGGTTGGCGCTCGATCTCTTGCTTGGGGCGCGCTGGCAGTGCAGGCGCATTCTCATCTTCAGCTAGCAAGTTAGGGGGGTCTTGGGGTAGTTTGGGAATGGTAATCAAGCTTGTTAAGTAGCGCAGGTTGGAGCACTCGTAATAGAATTTAACCAAACGATAATGCTGTGCATCGTAACGTTGTCTTAGAGGCTCTAACGCATCATTATCACCAGTTGCTATATAGAATATTAGCCAAGGATTTCACACGAATTTGCTATAGTCGACGTACTCGAGTGCATAGCTCGTAACATGCTTGTGATGAACTTGTAAATCCCATAACTCTCGGCCACCAAGGGGACGATGGCCGAAATTCTGCACTCGTTGTTGCCCACGTTGCGAAAATGCGAGAATATCAGTTTCTGGAATTGTTCGATCTTGTCTTGAAGAGCCATCAGGTCAGTAATGGTCTCGTAGCCTTCGTTGGGATCGTTGATAGCCTTCAAGCTAATGTATTCCTCGTATTCAAAGGTGCCATTGAATTCGGGGTGCTGCTGGTGGAAGGACAGTTTGGCGAGCAGAAACTTGACGTAATCTCGGATCAAGGGACCGTATCCACGAACGCCTTCGCCGGCCATGCCTCGGTTGAGACTATCAATCCATGATCGATTTGCCATTGCCTCCCTCAAGGTCTGAGGGTGGCCCTCCTGTAGGACTCTGTGGATGGTGATTAAGGCCTTGAATGTCTGCACCTCGTCGGCCAAGATAGGTTGCCTAGAAGCAATATTCCCAGTCAGCCCATGCATATCTTATGTCCATACATATCTTATGTATGCCATGCATATATATATATGCTACACCGGTTCGACGTACACTTTCATGCCAGCCCAGAAGGACTGGGAGGACTTGTGGTCCCAGGTGTAGACGATGCAACTTCGCACATGTTTTCGTTTCGGGGCTGTTTCTTCGGCATTGGTAGCCTTTCGGATATTGATAGCGAGCTCGGCCTCAGATCTGGAGCGTTCGAAGTCAGCAAATATGAAGCTGGGTTCTCCAATCCATGAAGTTGTCATGATGGACACGGGTATAGATTGGTGTTGTGCATATGCTGCCTTCCAAAGGGAAGCTTAAAAAGGGGGAGAAGGGAGAGAACGGACCTAGTGTGGTCGAGACTACGAATGGTAGCCATGATGAATGTGTTGTTTCTCGTTTGACGTTTGTAGTGGTTGATTGTTAATTGTAGGTAGTGGTGATAGTAGTAGCCTCTTTCTCAGGCAAAGAAATCGGAATTAGCGGTTGGGAAAGAGCTTCCGAGTCCAGCTGCAGCTTCAAAAGTCACGGCGCATCGCTCCTACCCAATTTGTTCAGGGGGGGGAGATAGAAAAAGAGTGTGAGAGTTTACGAATGCCCTATTGTTTACCAAGGCAATGATATGATATATTGGTACTGAAGAAATAAAAAAGTAGATGCCTAACGTAGGCGACGTCAGCGTTCTCAAGATCACAAGCTCCTACCCTGGTGGAGTTGCCTGTTGCGCATCAAATAAAGAATCAAAGGTTGACGCAGCTTGGGGCTCTTGGAAGTCTTGGCACGCCACACAAATACGCGGCTGGAGGTGGGGCACATTTCCGAGCTATTCCTTTTAGACTGATATTCTTGTAGTACAGATAGTAACTACTCCAGATTTGCATCTAGAGAGGTAGCGTAGAGTCTAGCTCAGAGCTTTTCGTCACTGCGGGTCATTGGTCATTGACAAACTACAGCTACAACCTCGATGTGGCATTGGCATTATCTAATACCAACTCTGCTCATGTCAAAGCTGATGCTCGAGCCTGCTGGCTCATCCAACACACCCAGTTAACCTCGCATATACTTTGCGCATTCAACTTGCAAAGATCAAAGATGCGCGCCACCACAGCATGCCTGTCCAAGGGTTTCTGGGGGCGCAGCATCGATGAATTCAAGCGCCTCTCCGAAATAGGTATATACGTCTATGCTAGCTACTCTTCCATATCATATGCCTATCTCAGATACTAACTCACCACAGTATTCAAGTCCGAGGGTATCAAAGGCCCCTCAGGCCCGCTCCAGCTTCATAACTTCCACCACCGCGAATCCCTCGACGAGACCAAGCTGATGTGCGATGTCGACATCGGAGGCTACTCGAAAGCGTCGCTAGACTGGATCCCTCCCTCCCCACAAGACAACACCAACGGCCACGCGCGCTTCCACGGTATTATATCGACTGCCCTACCACCCCACAGACCCGAGATCCAGCGGTCCGGCTATGCCGCGTGGCGCACCCTCGACCGGCCACCGACGCTGTTCGGCCGCGCGCTCTGGAATATCGATATGTACACGTACCTAGCCATGCGCATAAAATCAGACGGCCGGAGTTACTTTGTCAACATCCAGACGGAGTCGGTTGTGCCTACAGATATACACCAGCACCGGTTATTCTCCAAGCGGCCCGGGGAATGGGAGACGGTGCTGATCAAGTGGAACGACTTCGTGCGGACGAACCACGGCTTCGTAGTCGAGCCGCAGACCGAGATGCTACGGCAGAAGGTCAGGTCCATAGGTGTCGGCCTGACAGATCGGGTCCCCGGTCCATTCGAGCTGTGTATCGAGAGGATGTGGACCACCAACGACATGAGAGAGGGCGAGGAACATGTAGAGCCGGCTGCCATCCGGGAGGGACAGCTGAAAGATAAGCACGGACGAAATATTAGCTGGAGCGACAAATGAATATCGCAAGTCTCGGAAGTTCGCAAGGCTATCCGACCGAACTCGTAGGTTTTATTGGCTATGTAACCTATGCAATGTACATGGAAATAGGCTACCTGCACGGTAGCAAACACGACAACACATAGGCTGTCATCGATTGGTTAGATGGGATGACGAAAATGTCATTAAGTCCTGCGGGGACAAGTACGCTCGCAGCCGATTACTGTGTGTCTAGATGGCTACCGTCGAAAAGGAGTAGGCGAGAAAGTTGGACCACCGAGATGGTGTATAAAAACTAAGATGAAACTCCTCACAGCCCCGAGATCACTCAAGCTTCGAAGTGACAAAGAGGGTATATTGTATGCCGTGCTCCCCATTCTGTTTCTTCCAAGTGCCAGGGAGACTATAGACTGCCTGAGTAGCACGAGCAACCATCTACCTCCTAAGCTATGGAGAAACCATGAGTCGAATGCTCAAATTTGAGATGTTGTTCCTATGATCCCAATACTGGCATATTGGGGATCATTGTGTGGTGACTTGGTCAAGGTCCATACTCGGTCTTAGTCTAGCTTTAGAGGTAATTTCTAACATGAATCAGCGTCGTTCCAACCAATTCAACTATCACCCAATGTCCAATGTCCACTACTACCTGGTTTCAAAGCTGGCAGAGGTTACAACATTCAAGTCGTGCAAAAGATCGTGACTACGCAACTGAGTCCCTCCTATCCCATAGGCTTTCCTCACACTCACACGTTCCACAAGCCCGCACTCTGATTTCATGGAAACAGTCACAACAACTTGGAATAATAGTCAGGCTACGCTCGGTGAATTGCGAATATGATATGGCTTCCAGCTTACAAGCTCTTCGCATCGTTTCTCCTTCCCAGATATAAAAGAGCATGTAGGATACGCGCTGCTTGGGAAGGAATAGTACCTGTCACTCGCACCTTGCACCTCGTCCCGTAGTCTCAGGAGATACCGACCAAGAGGCACATCAACAGCACGTCGACGACTGTAGGCTCGATACTACTCCCGCCTATTTTCGGTTACACGCACAATTACACCCATACCACCCCGCCCACTTACACAAGACACAGCATCCACGAACCAACCCAAGAATGTGTCTGCGGAGCTACAAGCAAGCCTGGTGCCGGCAGGGCGCGCACTTCTTCGGCGCGCACTCGTTCCTGCGGGACGACCTGTGCGGGCAGGCCAGGTTCTTCAAGACCGGCGCCGGCAACTGCGAGCAGGGCATCGTCGGCAACCACCTCGTGTTCCAGGACCCGGTCGTCGTCCTGTGCGAGGAATGCAGAGCCGCCCAGCGAGGGAGATGATCAGGTACTGAAAGCGTTAGGGGAAAGGGGCGGAAAGGTGGTGATTAAGGGTAAGGGGTGGACGAGGGATACGAAGATATACTGTCTTAGTTTTAAACCCCAGAGCCCGTGAAAATCTGCCGAGCAGATCGGAGTGGTATGATGGAAGGACGCCTATAATAGATAAGGTACCATTCCGATGTTTTCTAGCAAGACACCACAAACACGAACACCAACAAACCACCAAAGCAGCGTTAATATAACAAGCATAATAACTAGGCGAATTGTGCCAAAGCCAAAGAAACCCAAATGGAATGATAGTCGCGTAGTCTAATGGTTATGACATCTCATTCGCATTGACAAGTTCAAAGTCCCTGAGAAGGTTCCGTGTTCAATCCACGGCACGACTATATTTTTGGGAGGCCTATTGGGAAGCTTCCTTATTGTGCAAAGACCAATACCTTGGTTATCATTCATAATAAGATCTTGGGGAATCGTGAGTTTCATTCATCAGCCTATTCGCAACTCAGGCAAGTTACGGCATGATAAGTAGTCTAAGACCTTCATATCGTCATGCGTGGAGCATCTCTACGTATGGCCAAATAAGCCGCCGCGTAGTCGTTCGCCAGCACGTTATCTCCCGAGACCTTCATGATCGTAGCCTTCTTAGCCATCATCTCGCACTGCTTGTTGATATCCTCGACACTCGAGTAGTGGTTAAAGGCCTTCTCAATTGCCTCTAGCGCCTTCGTCATGAATTCCCTCCTCTTGTTCGACTTCGGGGGCATCTTGCCTGCCATACCTATGTTAGCATCACCGAGGTGCGCATATAGTTTGCCGGTCATTGCAGAGTTCTCGCACTCGAGGCTACGGGGCAGGACTGCGGTAAGGAGCTGAATAGCTGGTTCGAATTCGCCAAGCGATGTTAGGATGTTCGCGATTGCTCCCATTGCCGGCCATAGATAAGGCATGAGACGAGCGCGCCAGGCCACGTGTGCTGCTCGCACGGCGATGGAGAAGCCCTTCTGTGGTCGACCACTCTTATCAAGGAGCTCGGCTTTAAGAAGGAGAAGTCGAACTCGCAGTCCGATATCTTTGTTGTCATTTCGGAGTGATGTTATCATTTTCTCTACTTTAACGAAAGCTTCGTCGCATCTGCCTCTACGAACAAGAAATTCGATATGGAGGCTATCAATGACAAAGTTCAGATCAGGTTCCAAATCTTCATTCTTGGATTGGAGAAGTTGCGAGAGCAATAGGTCCGCTCCATCGAGGTTGTTTTGGTGAAGGTCTCTCCGTAACTTGATTATACCACGGAACTTGTGCCAGTACTGGCTCGGTTTCCAAGTCCGGAGTGAATTGGCATCCATGCCTTCTAGTAGTTCAAGGGCTTCATCATATTTGCCCTTGAGTGTTAGCATCGAAGCTTGGCGGCTAATGACCTTCAACTCGTCGTCGAAGATCGAATTGCGGGCGTGACACCGGATAAAAACTTCGCAGGTAGTCACGGATAGGTAAGCGATTCCTAGCCTGTCCCATAGTGCTATATTGATCGATAGCTGGGAACCAACCATGCTCTTCATGTTGCGTTGCACCAGGATTTGGGAGCTTCTGACAAGATTTTCGACGGCCGTGGCTACGCTTTCACCGTTCGAAAGGCCCATCTTTGCCTCACTTATGAGTGCAGAACTCCACAGAGTCCACATGCCAGTCTCTTTTGCCCTGCTTCGAAGGTACGCGAGAGACTCCTTTCCGGTACCGAGCATGCTATTCGACTCTAGTTCCTTAGTCACTTCGGGATGCGCTCTACCAAAATGAAAAAGCCAGTTGAGGGCAAAATTCAAGCACGTCATGTCGCGGTTTTCCCTGGCAGTAGAAACAGTCTCCAACATTGCGGCAATTGCTTCCTTATAGCAGCCGAAGTCAGCTTGCAATACTGCCATGTTCATCAGCGCATATTGATAAAATGACCGATCCCTATTCTGCATCATGTAATCAAAATATCGGTGCAAGTAGTCGAATGCCGTTGAGTAGTCCCCCGCCCTCCACGCATCTAAATAGCTTAGGTAGTGGGACAAGCTTGGTACGATGAAGCTGTCGTTCAGCAAGTCATGGAACTGGTGTTGTATCTCCAAGGGTATTCGATTGCCGTATTTTTGCATCTGCTCGATTTGAAACTCGAGGAGCTTCTCGATATCGTCGGTGCTGACTGGTAATGTCGAATTTGGATCAGACCTGAGCATGTCCCCATATGCTATAGAGGCGACAGCTTCCACGCCTGAGCCCCATTCAGGCTCACTAGTCAATAGGACTTGATCGAAACTTAGTCTCTGGAAAGACGGTGTCTTCCTCCGATAATATGCCGCTGTGGTCTGGCGATATCTAACAAAATCTTTCCAGACTTCGCCCGTGTCGTGAAATCGTAGTCTCGTAAACTCGAGTTGGCATCTGCGTACGAAGGAACCGAAGGGCGAATTGCGCGAGAGCAATATGACTTCTGGGCCTGGAGCTTCGATGCCTGCCTCGGCGTCGCGGCGGAGTTCATCCTTCGGCTTTTCCAACAAGGTCGAACAGTGGTCAATGAATTCATGCAAGGCATGAAGTGAATCGATCTTCCACAGTCTGTCCAAGAAGACATACCACAGATTTCGACCAGGTATGCCAGAAGCAGCCGTATGAGGCGCCAAGACTTTCTCGAAGTCCGCGATAGATATGACTATGCTGACAGTTTTTTCGGCATGTTCCCATCGCTTTTCTGGGTTAGAGGATGGTAAGGAGCCATCATTGTCAATTAAATACGAAGTTATGAAAGAAAGTACGTCCACGATCGAAGACGTGGGGACGGCCTTATTTGTGTATAGCTCAATCAGAGCGAGGAGGCCAATTTTGGCCGGGTTGAGAAACCGAGACATGAAGCTACAAGTCGGGTTCCAAGTAGCTAGGGATGGTGAAGCGTTCGAATATTGGTTATCTCATGTTCATTGCCATCTATGTTGCCCTTGTAGATGCACTGAGTATGCGAATAGCCATCGCTAGTTGGCTGATCTCATGAGTACCTAGTACTTCTGATTCTGGGCGCGTAGCAGTGAAAGTAGAATTTATAATCGGGACGGGACGCGTCAAGAGTACGCATGAAAAGTTAGAATAAAAATTTCTACGCGACTTCCGTTTTTCCAAGTGCAAAGTCAATACAAGTAGGTAGCTTTCCTTCTCTTGTGTGCTCTTTCCTATGAATGAGCGTGCGTGTTGAACGTGTTAAGTGGCCCCACCTTCATATGCATACTCATATCATATGCGACTAACAGGTAGTATTGAAGGCAAACATATTAATTCACGTATTCACTTGAAAAATACTGCAGAGTTATGTATGCAATGGAAATTCTGGCTGTTGCTGTGAAAGTATTTTGTTAAGATGGTAAACAGTCTTCGAATGATAAGAAACCTGTTCAACGAGAGCTTTCCTAGGGCCATGATCAAAAATTAAAACGAATTTCTAGTAAGGAGGTGATTTCAACCTTGTAATAAATGTAGTTTGTGATTCAAGACTTGAAGAGCTGAGTGGCAACATAATATAGCAGGTAGATTCAGAGTGCATGTGATGCATCTGAATGTGTTAACTCTAAATTGTCGCGGTTGAGCCGGATACTACATAATGATAATCGTTTGTCAGAGTGGTAGGATGATAAACGCCAGGTGCCAGGACGGCGGTAGCGAGCTTCCCAATTTTTCTTCCTCTTGGCCTCTGTCACTATTTCAGCCTCATGCAAACCTCTAAACTTCCTCTCATCCAATAATCAGTGTTTAACTGTATCGACATATTGAAGCAGAAGTTCATATCATGTGTTATGCTCCGCAATGCCTTACCTTGCTTGCCCAACATGCGAAAAGAGGTAGTCAACTTCAGTTTACCCGCTAGCACCGGACCATGTTACCTAATGACCACCATGGGTACTATATTTTGGGCATCGTGTCATCGTATCTATTTAGATTTATTGATAGGAAAGGAGCAATACCTATTTGACCCAGCATCTTACGAAAGAGAAGAGTGGAAGAGAAGAGTGGTGTCGTAATAAGGGCATTTCCGGTTCCTATGCTATGAATACTTCGTCATACGATACGGATTCCCCCTCCCGCCACACATGAATAGGTGGTATGTACGAAGGTCCGGGCCAAAATTTTGGAACATCCAATGCTTAGGTAAGCCACGTGTATGTAGATTGAGTCGCACAGTACCACTAGTGTCATAGTGGCTTGATACCCTAAAGATATAGCGCTAGCCACCTAAGCTGTAGTGGACGGGCCACTATCGGCTTATCATTTAGCGCATTGGCTAATACAGTACGAAATACTAGGTGGTCCCTACCAACACGGTGGTAGGATCTGGAGATGTTCCATAATTTTGGCCCGGACCTTCGTAGGTGGTGGGCATTTTAGATACCTTCGGAATGCTCTAGATGACGACACCTAACTTATGTAGGTCCTTCGGGCGTTATCTGGAACCCGATCAAGAGGACTGGATACGAGGCACTCAACATGTCTCGGATGGTACGAGCATCAGCCAACTTAAATATTAAAATGGAAGGACAGCGACATTCCGGTGTTTTCTATTGATATTGAAAGAGGAGGGATTAGGCCACTGAGTGCGGGCCGATATCCGATTGGGAACGGGAGATACTTAGCATTAGGGTTAGAGGTTTCAATATACTTTGTGTCAAGTGAGAACGGAAAATCGCGAGAATGAAGAATGATTTCGAAGTCATAGAACATGTGAGGTTACTGATGTCACGAAACAATCTGGATAAATGCCCGCGAAAGTCCCAGTCGCTTCTCTTATTGGCCAATTTCCTAAGCCAAGATCAGCCTAACCCTGCTAGCATTAGCTGTAGTGGGGCATAGAAGAAAAGAAAAGCCCCTCTCAGCCCCCCTAACCCCTGAAGCTAGCGTATTCAGCCCCTAAGGCCGTCCGAAGGCAAAACATCCGACCAATCAAGGTAGTTGTTTCCTTGATTGTCGGGATACCCTGGGACCATTTTGTGCACCCTAGAAAGCCAAGATCAACGTCCCTGGTCCTATCAGCATCGCCCAGAACCGTTACACCTGATTTTTTCGAGTTAGTGGAGATCACAGCAACCTTGTCGAGCACTTCTGAACAAATCACTGAGCCCAAATCAACGCGACTAGGAACACAAAAAAATCAACCATTTCACCAACCGGTGTCTGGGATATCAAAGGATTCCATACTTGCGCTGGATGCACTTGAGAAGTTTCCGACGTTCTGGACTGACAGACATACGAGTCTAGCGTGGGTTCAAGACTTTTAGCAAGCTAATTGACAAAAAGGAATCGATACGAATTGTGAAAAACTCGTCATCTCAGGGGTGAAGTTCATCGTGGTGAATTCTTGCATAAA